AAGTGAATAAAGCTCAAAATCCTTCTAATAGCTTTTATTTCCATACACACAAATGCATTGGGAACACTACACATTCTATTCCAAATCAAAACATGAAGAAAAATATATCAAATTTGTGTTGTTCCTCTACATAAATTGAAGAAAAGTGAATATTAGATTGTTCAAAAAAATAGCAGTGTTTGTATTCTTCTTTACAAACTCAAACATTCACTATATAAACAAAAATGTTTGAAGATTTTGCTTTCCTTTGAATCACTTAATGAATATTTAGTTGTAAAAGCACTGTTTCTGAGAACTGCTGTACATCTGTGTTGCATGGAGTCAACCAACTTCTGGCACCTGTGAACAGGTATTCCAGCCCAGGATGATTGGACTACATTCCACAGTTCTTCTCTATTTCTTGGTTTTGCCTCAGAAACTGCATTTTTGATGTCACTCCACAAGTTTTCTATTGGATTAAGATCTGGGGATTGGGCTGGCCCACCCATAACGTCAATCTTGTAGGTCTGGAACCAAGATGTTGCACGTTTACTGGTGTGTTTGGGGTCGTTGTCTTGTTGGAACACCCATTTCAAGGGCATTTCCTCTTCAGCATAAGGCAGCATGACCTCTTCAAGTATTCTGATGTATTCAAACTGATCCATGATCCCTGGTATGCGATAAATAGGCCCAACACCGTAGTATGAAAAAACATCCCCATATCATGATGCTTGCGCAACCATGCTTCACTGTCTTCACAGTGTACTGTGGGTTGAATTCAGTGTTTGGGGGTCGTCTGACAAACTGTCTCCGGCCACTAGACCCAAAAAGAACAATCTTACTTTCATCAGTCCACAAAATGTTGTGCCATTTCTCTTTAGGCCAGTCAATTTGCTCTTTGGCAAATTGTAACCTCTTCAGCACATGTCTTTTTTTCAGCGGTGGGACTTTGCGGGGGCTTCTTGCAGATAGCTTGGCTTCACATAGGCGTCTTCTAATTGTAACAGGACTTACAGGGAACTTTACACCTTCTTTGATCTTCCTGGAGCTGATTGTTGGCTGAGTCCTTGCCATTTTGGCTATTCTATCCATTTGAATGGTAGTTTTTCGCTTTCTTCCACGTCTTTCAGGTTTTGGTTGCCATTTTAAAGCATTTGCGATCATTTTAGCTGAGCAGCCTATCATTTTCTGCACTTCTTTATATGTTTTCCCCTCTCCAATCAACTTTTTAATCAAGGTACGCTGTTCTTCTGAACAATGTCTGGAACGACCCATTTTCCTCTGAATTTCAGAGAGAAATGCACTGTAACCAGCATGTACAACATTTGCTGCCTTCCTTCCTTAAATAAGGGCAATAATTGCCACCTGTTTTTCAAAGAATTAATGACCTCACTAATAGAACTCCACACTGCTATTATTTTGAACATGCCCCTTTCAATTAGTGATTCAATTACACAGAATCAGCAGCATGCATGTCATGACTGTTGGGTCTGTTGGAATTCTATTACTCTACTACACCTGCTAGTAAATTATTTGCCATGTAGAAATATAATTTCTACCGAAAACAGTGATTGATCAGGTTAGTGATGTCTGACTGCTATTATTTTGAACACAACTGTATATTGTACATTCACATCAGTCCCTAACACTCAAGGGTTGTACAACCTAATGTCCCGAACTCACATTCACATACACATACTAGGGCCAATTTAGACAGGAGCTAATTAACCTACCAGCATGTCTTTGGAATGTGGGAGGAAGCCGGAGTACCTGGAGGAAACCCACGCAGGCACAGGGAGAACATGCAAACTCCAGGCAGGTGGTGCCGTGGCTGGGATTCGAACCAACAACCCTAGTACTGCCAGGCGAAGTGCTAACCGTTTAGCCACTGTGCTACCCAGTTAGTTAAGTGTATTCCTACAATATACTGGATATATCCAGTATAAGATATACTGGATTTGCCCCAAGCAAATGGGAACTGATTCTGTAATATATTTCTAGTGACATCATTAAGACCTAGATCCAATATTACAGATTTGCTCTTATTGACTTTGTAGTACGATACTCTACTGAACCATTGTAGAGTACGGTATGCTTCACCCAGGGAAGAAGTTGGGTCGGAAATGAAAAGTATAACATCGTCTGCAAACAGACTAATATTGTGAGTGCTATTACCGATAGAGAAGCCTTTTATGCAGGGGTTAGAACGAATATGTTCTGCTAGAGGTTCTATAAGAGGATTAAAGATTAATGGCGATAATGGGCAGCCTTGCCTCGTTCCATCAGATATGTGAAAGGGACGCAATAGCATGTTTGAAGTGTATTCTTTAGCTGATGGTGTAGTACAAAGCGCTAGAATTGCACTGAGGATAGGGCCCTGAAATCCAAATTTGATAGTACCTGATGGAGATAAGTCCAATGTACTTTGTCAAATGCCTTCTATGCATCCAAAGAAAGAAACAGAGAAGGCATTCAAGAGATTTTGGCGTGATATATAAGATTTATCAATTGTCTGGTTGCGTCCGAGGTTTGGCAAAATTTTGTGAATCCAGATTGGTCACGATGTATCAGATGGGGAAGAATATTATTCAATCTAGTTGCTATTAGTTTGGCATAAATTTTCAAATCAAGATTCGATAATGAGATTGGCGGAGATAATTCGATAATTGAAGTTTTGCGGAGAGGTGGGTTCCTTGCCTGGCTTCGGTAATGTAATTATGAGGTCTTGGAGCATTTATGGGGGAAACAATGAGGAGGAAGCAGCAGTGGCGTAAATTGAACACAAATGAGGGGTTAGAACCGAGAGAAATTAATTACAGTATTCACCTGTTAGGCCATCAGGCCCCAGAGATTTGCCATTTGGAAGATTTAGAATTATAAAGGTTAGTTCTTGTTGGGTGAATGGGCCATTAAGAGAGTTAAGTTGTGTCTCCGATAAGGTAGGGAGTTTGATTTTTTTTTTTTTCTAGAAAGGTTTTAATTTAGTCTAGAGAGGGTTGGTGTGTGGACTCGCCCATATTGATATTGTAGAGTGAACTATATGGGAACTAAAAGTGTCTGCAATTTTTTGAAGATTAAAGATTTTCTCATTTGAGGTGGTATTCTTGATTTAATTCTACGACCTTTCATTTTCCAAGATAAGGCTTTACCTGCTTTATTAGAGGTGGAGTAAAAGGGGGCTTGCAACTTATGTTGCATATGTTCAAAGGAGTCCAATAAAAAAGATCTTGAGTTCCTGACGCGACAAAATTAGTTTTGTTTTAAGAGTGTGGGTGGGCTGTGTTTTATTCTGGGATACAATATCTTTAATCGAATTTAATAAGAAATCTAAATGCTGTGACTTCCTGCGGTTTTTCCCTAGATCCCATTTGTATTAACAAACCTCTAATAAATCCTTTTTGTGAGTTCCATACCACAAAGGGGTCAGGGACTGAATTTGCATTTTGAGTAAAAAATTTCAGATAGATGATTCGATAGCTTTGTTGCATAATCTGGATGTTGCAATAAGAAATTATTGGCTTGGCACACAAAGGTGTTTGGTTGCAAGGGGGCATGATTAAGTAAGATTGTGATAGGTGCGTGGTTCGACCACGTTATGGTATGGATCTCGGACTTCTGTACTTTAGCAATAATCATTTGTCAAGAAGAAAAAGATCAATCCTGGAGAATTATGAGAAAAGAAATTTGTATAGTCACATTCACTGGCATAGTACCACCTCCACGCGTTGAATAGATCATTGTTGCAGAAAGGATTGCAGTGATGGGTTATGGCGTTTGGAGGCGGCAGATGAGTCCATCACGCTGTCTGGAATGATGTTACAGTCCCCACAAATGAGTATATGTCCCTGTTGAACTTTTCTGACTTGAGGGAGAGTTTTTGGGAGGAAGACAAAGGGTTTGTTATTTCGAGTGTATACATTCAGCAAGGTATATGGGACGTTGTTAATCGTACAAATTGGAATTAGAAATTGACCATTAGGATTGGTGACTTGATGATGTAGTGTGAATGAGACCGAGTCCTTGATTGCGATCATAACCCCTCTTTTTTTAGCAGTGAAACAGGCATTATAAACATGGGGGAAATTCTTGTCTTGGCAATACGGTTGGGCTGATTGGAAGAAATGAGTCTCTTGTACGGATAAGATGTCGCATTTGTATCATGCAAGTTTCCATAGGGAGTTCTGTTTTGCAGGGTGGTTCAAACCTCTGGCATTTATAGATAAAATTGAAAGAGGCATTGTGGATAAGAGAGTCAAATTAGGTGACCAAGGGATGATTCACAGGGTGCTTAGTACCAGAATGACTGTTGGCCGATGGTAACTGTTGGTCAATGGTAACTAGGAGTTTGAGTTCTACACACGCGGTCTTTAAGCCAAGGGGAAAAAAAAAATTTTAATCACTGGAAGTAGCAAGGACCTAAGTGTGAAAGACAGTGGGTAAGTTGAAGAAAAGCAGATAACCGTTTGTCAATACAATAGTTGTATAAACTGCGTAGCATAAGCTCCGATTGGTAGAAACTAAGATGCTACAGATCTTTCAGGGTAAAATTTACTGGAACAGTAACTTTGAGTCTTATGCCTGAGGGACATTGACATAGTACAAATGGTAGCCTCTGTATGAGATCATGGGCGATGGTCATCTCCAGGGGAGGATCTAGGATAATTCCCCAAGTATGCAAAAGATGCATTCCCTTATGAAGGGAATTGATGGAGTGCACAAAACAATTATGTCTGATCAGGAGGGTGGCTGGGTGGCACCATTTGTACGGAATCTTGTGATTCTGAAGTGCCTTCATAACCAAATTCAGCTGTCGTCGGAACTGTAGAGTATGCTTGGAGAGATCCGAACACAGTTGGAGATCCTCAAAAGAAGTAGGTAGTGCAGTCACGGATCTAGTGGAAGAAAGCAATTGCTCTTTTGTCTGGAAGAAATGTACTTGCATTAATACATCTCTGGGTATAAAGTCCGCTAAATGTGGTGCTTTATCAATTTAATCTTTCATTTGCCTCCTTTTCCTTAAGGTTTGGTATAGAAATGGTAGCACAGGTTCAAAGTGAACAAGATGGTCTTGACTTTGATGAGGAGTCGGATTTGGGAATTGAAAACTATCACTTTGAAGGCATCACTGCAAATCCACTTTGCTCAGTGAGGAAAAGGAGTCTCTCGGAAAGCAGCGTAGCTGTGGAAAAGGGCTCTGTATACAGTTTATTTAATAGCCATAATTCCGACACAACTGACGAGCCAATCATTCAAATACGGCAGCCAACACCGGCAACATCTGGACCAAAGGTGGCTTCAACATTAACCTCACCTGCCAGAAGTCTTCCTGCCGAACCTTCTACAGACAGTTACGGCGTTTCGAACACAAGATTGTATGAAACATTACAAAGTCAGAGAGGACATGAAGAAACCTGTGCCCCCCTAGACAGCTTGAGCATGTTCCAGAGTTCTTGTGTAAATGTGGTTACCACAATTAGCAGTCATGTGGATGGAGGTACTGACAGTTGTGCATCCAGCACAGAGCAGAATGATAACCAGGGAGTTGGAAAGAAAAGAAGGGCCAACCGGGTAAGATTGTTTTTATCAGAGTATTTATTTATTTAGTATGTATTTATTTGTATATCTTATGCCTGCACAACCTATAGAAAATATGTCCTCTGCTCTCCTGCTGGCTGCTGCTGGGGATCGTTTAAGGATGGAGAGCAGGGGCAGGGGACAATGAACATATGTATCAGCCCTTTCCTTTTCTGAATGAACACAGTGAGTGCTCAGTACCATGAAAGTACTGCTTGTGAATGAACTGGAAGAAGGCGCAGAGCTCTTCCATTTCATTCATTCTGTGCAGCTGAGGTTGCGGAGAAGGAGGGTGAGGACTGTGTCTCCAAAGTGAGACATCAAGGGTCTGTTTAGACCCATGATATTTCACCAAAGCCCCTCAACAGGGCTGCTAAAAAAAAATTGTAAAGAATAATAAATAAAATTGGAAAACAAAATTATAACATTGGAAAATCTAAAACTACTGACCCCGTCCCCTGCCCTACTGACACCATCCATGCACCTTCCACGTGCCCTTCTGGCACCGTCCACACACCATCCATTACCCTACTGACAATGTCCTCTTCTAAGATAGGCTAAGTTTATAATTTTACAGTGCTATTTTTTCTAAGTTTTCCTTTTTATTTAGTTAGACCTTGCTAGTTAATTTCTTAAACCCGAACCCCAGTGATGTTTGCTTTCTTTCATTCAGCTAGATCTCCACTTCTCAAAGGTTGCCTACCCCTACCTTAGAAAACATTTCACATTACTAATATACTGTAAGATTACAGTTATTAGTCTCCTCAGCATCAAAATCTCTCATCTTTTATTATTATGATTTATATGGCTCCAACTAGTTTGCGGAGCACTTTACCACATGAGCCCAAACAGTATAGTTACAATACAATTCAATACAGGAGGAGTCAGAGGGCCCTGCTTGTTAGAGCTTACACTATAAAGGGGAGGGTCAAGTGATACAAAAGGTAATAACTGTGGGGGATGAGCTGATGGAGAAAATACAAGTACAGTTGTTAGGTGGAGGCAGTATGGACTTCTTTGAAGAGAAAAGTTTTCAGGGTTCGATAGTCTGACAGATTGGGGTAGTGAGTTCTATAGGATGGGAGAGGCTCGGGAGAAGTCCTCGAAGTGAGCATGGGAGGGGGTGACAAGGGAACTATAGAGCAGGAGGTCTTGGGAGGACCAAAGAGAGTGATCTTGAAGTCAAAAGCTGAACTCTCAATATTTGTATATCCTGATATGATTGATTCTTGAAATAGTACTGAAGAGTTCATTAATTATTGCAACATAAGTGCTTCCCTGTCAGTGAGCTATATTACTATGCCAGCCAGCCAGTGCTTCATTCAACCTCCTTTCCTTTCAATAGATTTTTATGGGATAATTTTAATATTAGAAAATACAAACTCGAGATATTACAATAAAAGGTAACAGTCAAAAGCAGTCATGCTCAAACAAAGCATAACTGTAGTAGGTGACATTATAAATGACATGTCAAAAGAACAAAAATATCAACCATGTTGTGTCAGTAAATCAGCATAGGAAAAAGGAAAGGACTACTTGCCCATAGCCTAATGGCCAACAATGATAAAAGGGGTTATGAGGTTTAAAGTGCACAAGCATATAGTTGTGAGATGTACGGAACACATCTTGGATTGTAAGACATCACTGCGAGTGAGCCAGAAAGGTGGAAACAGAAAAAAAAAAAAAGGGGGGAGGGAACAGGAAGGATCGGAAAACAAATGTCAAAAGCGCTCAGATCTGGGATATGGGGCCTTTGAGGTTATAATGAAGTGAACCTATCTATTGGTAAAGCAGGATGGGTGTGTCGGATCCATGGAGTCCATGTTTTAAGGAATTTCTCCTGGGTGTCTGAAAGAATACTAGACAGTTTTTTTCATTAACCAGGAAGAAGTCAAGGCAGCAATTAATTTCCGTGAAGGGTATAGACTGTTGTTTGCAGGCTTTTGCTATGGTTTGTTTATCCACCCCTTTCTTTAGATTACCATTTTGTCGTGACGGTATTTCATAGTGCAGGAGGGTACGCTAGGAATGCCAGGTCAGACAGTGCAGTGAATATGCTTTGTCATTGGTGATTTTTATTCTTAGAGGCTAACTCTACCTTTAAACAATGTTACACCCATATTTATGGTGTAATATGGTCGCAAGTGGTGAATGTAATGATGCTAGCAAAAGGTGGACTTAGCCTATAAAACCCACTTAATTTATAAAATAAAGTGTTTAGTTATGCATACAATATTTCTCATTTTTGTATTTTGAAAAGGATGGTTCCTGTCCTGAAACCTCAAACTTGGAAAGAGACTCCAAAAGAAGAAAAATTAGAGGGAAAAAAGGTAAATTTTCTTAAAGGAATCTGTTCTCTTTTCACACTCATATAAATAATAGTATCTTTTGTTTTGTTTTTTTAGGGCCTACAAAACCTTCTGACTTTAGAACCAATATAAAAACTAGTAGATACAAAGTTATACAACTTGAGGCATATGGGTGCTCAAGTTGTATAACTTTGGATCTATTGGTCTTAAAGTGGTTCTAAAGTCCTTAAGGAGCTGGACTGTTCCCACAAAGTTGGGAGCAAGAAATTGTCAAAATGTCTTGGTATGCTGACGCCTTAAGAGTTCCCTTCACTGGAACTAAGGGTCCAAGTCCAACTCCTGATTAACCCCCCCCCCCCCCACACCACCACCACCACCAAGCTTTACACTTGGCACAATGCAGCCAGGCAAGTACCGTTCTTAAGGCAACCGCCAAACCCAGACATGTCCATCGGATTGCCAGACAGAGAAGCGTGATTCATCACTCCAGAGAACACGTCTCCACTGCTCTAGAGTCCAGTGGTGGCGTGGTTTACACCACTGCATCCGACGCTTTGCATTGCATTTGGTGATGTAAGGCTTGGATGCAGCTGCTTGGCCAGGAAAACCAATTCCATTCCTCTATGCACTGTTGTGCTAATCTGAAGGCCACACAAGGTTTGGAGGCCTTTCGCTATTGACTTTGCATATAGTTGGCGACTTCTGTACACTGTACGCTTCAGCATGCGCTGACCCCGCTATGTCATTTTACGTAGCCTATCACTTGGTGGCTGAGTTGCTGTTGTTCCCAGTTGCTTCCACTTTGTTATAATACCACTAACAGATTGACTTGGCCATTGCATAACATTCTACTTCTTTCACTTAAAAAACTCTTTGGTTGCTTTTGCAGTATGCTTTGGGTCATTGTCCATCTGCACTGTGAAGTGGCGTCCAATGAGTTCTGAAGCATGTGGCTGAATATGAGCAGATAATATTGCCCAAAACACTTCAGAATTCATCCTGCTGCTTTTGTCAGCAGTCACATCATCAACAAATACAAGAGAACCAGTTCCATTGGCAGCCATACATGCCCACGCCATGACACTACCACCACCATGCTTCACTGATGAGGTGGTATGCTTAGGATCATGAGCAGTTCCTTTCCTTCTCCATACTCTTCTCTTCCCATCACTCTGGTACAAGTCGATCTTGGTCTCATCTGTCCATAGGATGTTGTTCCAGAACTGTGAAGGCTTTTTAGATGTCGTTTGGCAAACTAATCTGGCCTTTTTGTTTTTGAGGCTCACCAATGGTTTACATCTTGTGGTGAACCCTCTGTATTCACTCTGGTGAAGTCTTCTCTTGATTGTTGACTTTGACACACATACCTCCTGGAGAGTGTTCTTGATCTGGCCAACTGTTGTGAAGGGTGTTTTCTTCACCAGGTAAAGAATTTCTTCGGTCATCCACCACAGTTGTTTTGTGTGGTTTTCCGGGTCTTTTGGTGTTGCTGAGCTCACCGGTGCGTTCCTTCTTTTTAAGAATGTTCCAAACAGTTGTTTTGGCCACGCCTAATGTTTTTGCTATCTCTCCGATGGGTTTGTTTTGTTTTTTTCAGCCTAATGATGGCTTGCTTCACTGATAGTGACAGCTCTTTGGATCTCATCTTGAGAGTTGACAGCAACAGATTCCAAATGCAAATAGCACACTTGAAATGAACTCTGGACCTTTTATCTGATCATTGTAATTGGGATAATGAGGGAATAACACACACTTGGCCATGGAACAGCTGAGAAGCCAATTGTCCCATTACTTTTGGTCCCTTAACAAGTGGGAGGCACATATGCAAACTGTTGTAATTCCTACACCGTTCACCTAATTTGGATGTAAATACCCTCAAATTAAAGCTGACAGTCTGCAGTTAAAGCACATCTTGTTTGTTTCATTTCAAATCCATTGTGGTGGTGTATAGAGCCAAAAATGTTAGAATTGTGTCGATGTCCCAATATTTATGGACCTGACTGTATATTGCATACTAGGATATAAGGCTAGCTGCTAGCTGCTTTCTTCAAGGTTTACTCTATCTGTTTTGAGGACCAAAAAACCTGTACTAAGAAGTTTCTCTCATCCCCCAATAAGCAATGCGATTCAAACTTGACCTAAAAGTTTGAATGTGATTGGTGATAAAGGAATCTGATACAGCACGGACTTTTGACACAGCAATGTTATCTTGCTGATTGGTTTCTTTTTTATTTTATTTTTTTCAGATAGTTCTTCATTCTCATTATGTTTGTTTAGCCAGTCATGGGTTTGAATATAATTTTGTATGCCTTGGGTGCTGTATCTGCTCATACATCCCAATGATTTGCTTTTTTAGCCATGGTGTGGTGTGTGTATATGTTGCTTCTGTGCTTCTTATTGTTTTTGTATAGCTGTATACGACTTACAGTGTATATACAATGTTTACGACTGCAAAGTAATTTTAAATGCAGAATATATCTTCCATTATTATGCTTCTGCAGAGCGCTCCCAAGTGGACCAGCTGTTAAACATCTCTTTGAAGGAAGAAGAACTAAACAATTCTCTCCAGGATGTTGATAACAACCTTAGTCAGGCCCGCGCTGCTTTACAGGCAGCTTACATGGAAGTCCAACACTTAATGATGCAGAAACAGCAGGTAAATCTTTTTCTGTTGTGGATAATATTGAAACGTATTGGCAAGTAGGTTATTTATTTTCCTTATAGCTTTCATTAATTGTTTTTCTATATATTCTTCCAAACTGTGATACATTAATTTTGAAGTGTATTTACGCTTGTGCAGCCAAACTGGGATAACATTTACTTTGTATTTGTTACATGTTCTCATTTTCATAGCATAGATTAAAGCGTACATTTTCTTAAAAAATAATAATCATAAAGAATCAGCACAAGGGATGTTACTTGCCTTCGATGTGCCCCTTGTGCTGCTGTGTCCTGGTTTAGCAGAACTCTTCCTCCTTCAGATTAAATACATGAAAATTTGTACAGCGTGGATGAATGCTTGTAACATTTGTCCAACAGAAGGTTTGTAAATAGACCCATATCTCTGTGAATGAGATGCCGCAAACATTGTAGCAGGATGTCGGTCCTGTGGTTCTTTTACAACAGGAAAGGCTCTAGCTAAAATTTCATTGGTGTATTTGCTGCCTTCCACCTGAACGTAATTCTTTTTTAAGCTGTTAATATTTTTGATTTCATAAGTATTTTAAAATTGGCCTCTTTTTACAGATTACAGTGGAAATGGGTACCTTAAGGACACAGAGAATACAGATTCTTCAGGGACTCCAAGGTACGGAATTATCGTGAAACGTAAACTGTATGAAGTTAACTGTTGATATGAAAACATAATAATTCCTCACTGTTTTTTTTAAATTTGTGAATAGGAACCCTTGATTTAGCCATTGAAGCAGATGAGGGAGGATCCAATATAGCTCAAGGTCCACAGGCACCAGATGTCCACCCCATAAATGTGCTTCCTTTCCAGTTGGAGACTCCGTCTTCTCTTTCTACCGAGACCACAGCTAGCCCTCTGTTACCAGCTTCAGTCCTCACACCAGCAGCCATTCTTCCTGCTCCTGCTAAAACCTCAATGCCTGATTCATCTATAACTATTAAACAAGAACCAGTGTCACTTGAGGAAGTGGACAAAAACCGCTCCACACCACCATTTCCACAGTTACAAGCAACTGCGCCAGCAGAACTTAGTGGTATGTTGATTTGTAATATACAAAAAGATTTGTAATGTATAAAAAGTATGATATATAAAAATTCACAAATAAGTTAGTATTGAGGTAGACCATCTTCACTGCTGAACTTGCAAATATAACTCTGCAAAATCTGTTAATTTTGGATCTGGCATCTTGCCATTTCTTCTTTTTTTGGCACAGGGACAGGGCTCTTTTGACAGCGATCTCTGAACCAAATGGCTAATTTGTAGACCATGTGTTATATGCTGCTACCTTCAAGCGATTGAACACTGGAAAAATACTTTGCTGGCTGCACACCCATTGACTGCGTATAACCCTGCCCACTCTGCTGGTTTCCTTAGGTGTCTCCAGGCCAGTGACCCTTGAGTGCACCTTGGGAACCATACCCTGTCCCCACTTAAAAGTGAGACTGGCCTGTAATATTTGCTTCAAGCACTGAATCCTGTGTTTGGTGCTCACCTTGGCACATGGTGCAGCTTGTGTAGTTAGCTACAGGGTTCTCTGTAGGTCCAGGGCCATGGCCCATTCTTATGGCACCCAGACCCTTTGAGGGTTTGCCCACTGTGACAGGCTGAGCCTGAACCGTGAACAGGGCAAGCGATGTGGACAGGAAAGAAAGGGTTTCTCTTTATCTCCCTCTCATATCGGTTCCTCACTCACATCTTGATGGCTTTGTAGTTTACACTACATCTGTATCATGCAAGATATTTTGCGGTGCTATGCACTCAAGCATGTCTTAGGACACATAGATGTAAGGGAACTTGCACTTAGACCAGCCATAGATGAATCCATTGCATTCATCCATTTTCAATTACTCTTCTATATTTATCTCGAAGTTGGTCAAAATTCATCTTTTAGCTGGATCCTTTTCCTCTTTACTCTTTTTTTTTTTTTTCCTCCAGTCTGCAAGCTCTCCTTTCAGTAGCAGCTCAGGAAAAAAAAGGTAGAAGAGGCTTGTAAGCCTAAAACCTTTTAAAACTTTATTAAAAACCAATATAAAACAACTCAAATTTCCATGTGTTATACAGCACTGTTTAAACAAGTGTCTTACTGGACACCGCTACTTCCACGCATCGAGATTGGGTCACCAATATTATCCTGTTAGATGCGAGGACATCACAGATTATTCCCATTCAACATGTTTCATCAAAAATGACTTCCTCAGGAATAGCCACAGAAAGTTTTTTGGCTGACTCTGTCATTGTTATACCTTTTACTAGTACTTGTACTAGTGAACCTTTATCCTCTGATAACAAAAGCTTTGGGATTCATTTATACATTTCTTTGCAATATTATTTTCATTAAAGTTTGTATGTTTGTTAATATTATTTAGCGATTTAGCATATGCATCTTATTTCCATAGTAGTGGTGGGGTTTGCCAATTTACTGATATTTTAGAAACGTTAAGTTTTATCTCTAAATGCTCTAAAAAATTAAACTGACATTTTTGATTATTTTTTTTTTCTGTACAGCTTTAGTCTCATTACTTATGTCTAATGAAGTATATTCCACATTATTAGGCAGCTGGATCCTGTAGTAATCTTCACTTAATGTCCTGTGCTATTCCCGTCTCTGAACTTGCAGCATTGTGTTGGTTAATAGCTTCAGGCTAGGCTGTTGTAAAAAAGTTGCCTTCCCCTTTCTTTCTCCTCCATTTGGGAAATTTCTTTTTTATTGTTTACACTGCCTGTACCACAATCTTTGAACAAGGGAAAAGTCTGATGAGCCACAGGATCCTCTCCCCCATTTAGAGATTGTGTTACAGGCAATGACAGTAATGAAAGAACTTTTAGTGGCATGACACCATGCGGTCACGTATCAATGGCAGTGGCTGGGATCTCTCTCTGCCATCTATCACAGCTCCCCCATAGGAACTCCCATAAAGTGGGCTTCATTCTGGGGGTGAAGCACAGCACAAGCAGACATAAAGATATGCTTTTACTGCACACAATTACAATGTGGCCAAGGATCAGATGGGGACCGAGTGCTACATACACTCAGTCACTTGGGAGATTTGACTAGGATTTTTAAGCATTAATGATTGCTGCGATTATTTAAATATAAAGGTTTCTTTATATGATTCTGCTACTAGTACTTCCACGCGGGCTCACAGACTGCTCCTTCCACTATGCTGACTTATCCCAATACAGTCTATGTGTCTGTGTACATTGATGGCCTTATGTATGCTTGTATGGTCAGCTTTCATTAATTGAGTGAAAAAGATCTGAATGGATAAATAAGTAGATTGCAGGGCAACATCAGCTATGATACAAGTTAAATAGAATTTTGCATAAGTAGATTGAACAGTGAAACGCTAATAATATTTTTTATGGTCTTTTACCATTACCATTTTAATGCATAAATAATTATATTTTGACTATTTTTAATTTAGATGTAGATGGTCAGAATACACCGATGTATCCAGTTATTACAGCCTCCATGTCTCTTTCTGAGCTTACAAGCAAGTTTCCTGTTCTTAATACAGAATTATCTAATGAAAGGCACTATGTTTCAACTGCAACATCACCGCCTCATTATTTATCACCAATTCCAATTTTCTCACCAAAGCAGGAAGTGGATGTTCCTGAAAATCTGCCTGCTGCTGTGACTAGGCCACTTCAAGGCCAATCCATTTCACCAAAAGATACTGACTGTCCAGTAGCCCCCTCAGAGCATGTAGATTCAACTTTGATTTCCGCAAAATCTATGGAAGGCAAGAAAAAGAAGAAACTGCGAAAAAAGAAGACCTTACGTGCGGCCCATGTGCCTGAAAACAGTGACACTGAACAGGATGTCAGCAAGCCTGTTAGAAAAGTAAAGTGCAGAAAGCTTTCAAAGGAAGCCACAGTTAGCACTTCCACTCCTGTAGAAGTAGATGCTGCATCACAGGATGGCGAAATCAACAAAGATCACAATGCCAGCGATTCCAGCATTGAAATGATGGAATTACCAAAACCTTGCTATGAGGTGGTAGAGATAGATTCCAGTGATGAAAAACCAGACAGTCCATCCAAAACTGACCTTGTAGACTGTCCAAAACTGAGCAGTTTGGATAAGAATGATGAAGTAACTTCCACCAGTGAACTCGGCACAAACTACGCAGTAGGAACCTTGGGAAGGTGAGCAAGTAATAAAATGTCTTGATTTGAACATAATACAGTTTTCATACCTTTTTTAAAAGTAAAGGTTCAGTTCACAAAGCAGCGACAGCCTGAGTAGTAAAGCCTGTCTCCTTCCAGCAGCCTCAGAGGTGGGCCCTTGCTCTCTGCATGGAAGAAGTGGTCTCATTGCAGAAGTCCAACACAGCCCCTGCTTCCTGCTGATTGTAGATCTTTGGCCTTGATACAGCAGGGGGTATGTCAAACCTATGACAAAGAGACCATATGGGTTTCTTCTGTCATAAAAAAAAAACCTGATAGCTATTTATAATCTTTAATTTTTCTTCTGCTGTAAGACTAACCGTACTTCTCAGTCCCTTCCAATGCTTAAGGTATGGACAGGCTGGCACCATTAGTACTATTATTATTTCAGTCCAACAAATTGATATGAATAATACCTCTTGTGGGTAATCTGCAATCTTTAACGGATTACCCGCAGGAGGTATTATTCATATCAGATTATGGAGACTTCTAACTGCTTTCATTAATTGGCCTTTGATAAATTTCAGTTGAAGAGCTGCATCCAAACAGAGGGTAATGCTTTAGTAAATGTATCTGTTAACTGTTGGCTATTTTTCAGTGGTATGACTCAAAATTTGTAAAGTCTGTCAGGTTTGTTTTTCCATGTATCTAATGTTTTCAAAGTGATGTATATACACTGAAATACTGTATTTCTTCACATAAAAAGAAGATAATGTATTATTAAACATATAAAACTGAAAGTCAACAACTTGTCATTTACTTCAATAACTACTTTTTTACCTTATGCAGCATGGAGCAGAGAGCTTCTACCCCAGGAACAAAGAATTCTTCTGGTGAGTGTGCTATTATTAACTGACTACTGTAAATATGTCTCTTTTTTTTGTAGTGAATGTCTTCTATATAGCTGTTACGTTATTATTACTGCTCATTGTATTTGGTAGACATATCGTCGGATGCTGGAGAAGATGAGGAACCTACAGATGGCAGCTTTGAAGGACACCAGGCTTCAGTTAATGCCATGCAGGTTTACTGTAGAACCCTCTACACCTGTTCTGCTGACAAGAAAGTGCGGGCATACAGTCTCGTGGTAAGATTTTTTTTTTTTTTTAAAAAAACATGATCTTGGAGCTGTTGGTATGCAGTTGTAACCTATGCAATAAATAAGATTTGTTAGGGAAATAATCATTCTTTTTGGTTTCTTTTGGCTATCCTGCAGCTGCTGACACGTTTATATAAGGCTTATAATTGCAAGCCTCAGTGGCTAATAAGCCCCATAATGGATATTGTTATCCATTGTCCTCTATAAACTGCAGCAATACTCCACACTGCAGCCTGCATTTTGCATGCCATTCAAAAAAATGCAATGTGGAGCCTACTGCGTCATACAGAGAGTACCGTTGCTTAATGCAACAGAGTGAACTCTGTGATTGGAGGAGAGAACATCACACCAAGAAGCTTCAGTGTCCTTCCTTACAGCAGTAGGGAGGGTGCTCAAATAGCTATGACAGATGGGGCGTGATACGTCATCGCCACACAAAGTTGCTTGATCAAAGCAATTTCAATGATTACATATAATCGATCTTTCCCTTAGTGGCTCTGAAACATCGCTTATATGTGATCGTTAAAATTACTTTGGTCAAAAATCTTTTGTGTGCTGCTGATTTATTACAGGATGGAGGAGAAAGACTGATTGTATGATTGACATGGATGGCCAGGGTAAAATTATGTTATGCTTGAAGCTTTAAAAGAGAAAACTATGGTTCACAGCAGGATGGGGCTGAGAGAAGAGAATTATACTGGTGGAGGGGTGTCTATATTGTCTCAATTCTGGCTCTTTAATGTGGCTGTCATATTAAAATAATAGTAAAACCTTATTATTTATTGTTTTATTTAGACCCGAAAATGTAAGGCTGTTTTTGGAGGACACACATCAAAAGTAAACTGTCTCCTTGTGACACACAAGCGAGGGGGAACTGTAGCACTGTATACTGGTTCTAGCGACCACACAATCCGATGCTTTGATGTTAAGGTATGTTACTCTTTAATAGTACTCAAAATGGAACAAGGAATGTAAATGCATCAAATATCTGTGTATGAGAGACACTAAAATCTGCAAATGTGGTGTTTTATAAACTTTTAGAGCTGGAAATGTGTTCTCCATCAGATGTCAAGCCAACTATGCCTAGTCATTAAACTGATTCTAAAGATTGAATTAAAAAGAAAAACAAACATGTTCTACTCACCTGCTCTGTGCAATGGTTTTGCATGCATGAAGGTAAAAAAACCCTTCTGCCTTTAGAACCACTTTAAGACTCCGCATAGTTGTGCAGATTTTAGCTTCCTCCCCCACTTCCACATTAACAAGTTGGAAAATCTTTACATTAAAACAAGTGTTTCTGACATTGGAAACACTTGTTCTTACTTCCAGGATACCCCTAAATATAGGTTTCTTAACTAGTATTTTATATATTTGTATTATATATCGGCAAAAGCAGGAATGTTGACTTTGATCAAATATAATAGGATTTTTTTCTTAGTGTCTATTGAGGGACACTGCTTATTAGTAAGAAACCTTTGGATATGCTGCTGCCTACAGGAAAATTGGACACTAATCAAGTTTAAAAAAAAAAAAAAAAACAAGAAAGAAAGAGAAGCTATTTTCCATGGAGTACAAAAGTCTTATATCTTAATTGTACTGCACAAGACATAGGACTTTTTCATAGACCATGGGTTGTATGCAGGCTACCTTCATGTTATTGAACACAGGCAAAAAACTTGCTAGGGTCACCCCTAGTACAAGCACATATATAACCCCGGCCACTCCATGTGACTCCTGTTTTTCACTAGTGTCTTTGGGTGATGGACCCGTTCTCCTCTGGAAAGTAGTATTTTTAGACCATTATCCCCCCCCCCCCCCCCCCCCCCCCCCCCCCCCCCCCCCCCTTCAGGCACTTCTTTCAAATTGTGGCTGATTGTTGCCCTGAGCTACCTAGTAGTACCATGTGTTTCATCAGGGACTAGACCAAATAATTTGGGGCTGGACTGCAATGTTTGTGCCAAGTGAGTGTCTAACCCAGGACCCAGTGCCTGAAGCAAAGTGCAACATGTGTATTTAACCCTAAGGTTGCTGTACAGGTCCAGTACTGTGGTCCATTTCTATGATTCACAGACCTCTTCAGGGAGTATGCCCACCAGGGCAGGCAAAGCCACGCACGGCTTCCCTGTATGTTGAGACTGGTTCCTAGCTTTTAATAAGATATTCCGCAGTGCATAGAACACAACGTGCAGTATTAAACCCAAAAGCAAGCATTTATTATATTGCAGCTTACCATTTCTTAGATCTGATGCCTGCATTCCTTTTCTTTTTCATGCTTTTTTTGTTCAATTTCCATCTGGTAATTTAGCCAGTAAGTCTGTTGTTTTTCAAAAGAACAAGGTCTCCAGCAGAATGTATCAGTTACAGAGATGATACAAACCATTTATCACTAGCATGGGGGCTTACAATGGTCCGCTTTTATTTATTTTACATAAAACCTTTATCCCAAAAGGAAAACAAAACCTGTTTACTGTGACTGCTGTATTAGCTGGAGTTTGGCTTCAGTTTTTTAGTGTATTTAAATCTGCTAGTACATCTAACACTCTCCTCCTCCAGACTGACATTGCTAGTGTCCAGATCTGCCCCCTGTGCTCATTCATCCAGAGTGAGGGCACTCTAATACAGGAGGTATGTTACTGGCCAGGTTACCATGTGAAAACAAACTGGGGGAAAAAAGCATAAAAAAAGAAAACTAAAGTAGCTAAGGATTGGTAAGCTGCATTATTTTATGTTTTTGGTTTAGGGTTAAATACTGCTTCAAAGGTGGTGCCCCCTATTATATTTGTCTTAGAGCTTTCTTGGGAGGTTCAGCCATTTTTCATATTTTGGTTTTTCTTTAGTCTGGTCTTGACCAGTGTCTGGCCTGGAGTACTCTCAAGGGTCAAGTTTTTGCCTTTATCCATTCTCTTTCGGAAACCCTTCACCTTGCAATCCCTAGTGAAGTCTTTTCTTCATGATGTTGCTTAAATAAATACCCCCAATTCAACCTCCTTTGTCACCTTGGGATCTCAGCCTGGTGCTCTTTGTACTTCAGAGACCCTTCTTTGAATTGATTTTAGACATCTTCACATGTTAGGTTGCTTTCCTTGTGGTCATTATGTGTGTGTCTTAGTTAGTATCTCATGACAAAGATATTTGCCCCTCAAAACATGACAACGATTTTGCTCTACACTTCTTGGATGTGGTCAGGGCTGTTGGAATCTACCTATCAGTCATGGCCTGTGTTTGCAAAACTGCGTCATCCTTCATTTTACCTGTAGGCCCTCATAGAGGGCATCCTGCTTCCCACTCCACCATTACCTGGAGGATCATGCAACATATTTCCATGGCCTGTGCTCTTAAAGAAAGTGTTCCTCCCTTTCCCATCAGAGCTCTTTTCACCAGAGCTGTTGGTGTCTCTTCTTCAAGCATCTGTATCCCAGATTTACAAGGCCACCACTTGGTCACATGTCCTATCAGGTTTATATTCAGGTTTCAGCTGATGTGAGCTTCTGCTGCATGATGCTTCAAGCTACTTTGGGTGTTTTCGGGTTCTTTAAGCCTTTTGTTTTTGTGGGCTGGTTGGCATTTCTGTTGCTGCCCACCACTGTACTGTACACTTAAGATAATATGAATTTTGACTTGCCTCTAAATTCCTTATCTTGGACCCTCCCCTCTGTACCTTGATCACTCATGATCGCTTCCTAAAATAAAATGGAGTCCTACAAAGAGGGCAGGGCTATGAGTATGCAGGAGGGGCAATCCTAACAAGTTATTTACCAGTATCCAATCATCTGAAGGTAGCCTGCATATAACCTATAGTCTATGAATACAAGTCCTGTACTGTTCTCCAAGATAAGGAATTTACAGGCAAGTCAGATTTCAGATTATGAAACCTAGGGATGGGCACACCCAAAGCAATACAGGTGAGCCAAGAATAATCTAGGAGGAGAACCAAGGGCATCAAGTAACCTGCTTGCATAACCTTTCACCCTCAACCTGCTTGCATAACCTTTCACCCTCATTAAGGAGAAAAAAGAGACCACTTTGGGGAAAAAGAGGTTTTTGGTCTCCAAACAATCTTGTGTTTATTTAAGATCAAATAGGGCTTAATACTGGATAATATTGACAATTGAGAATCAGGATATGATGAATAAGGCGTAGAAGACCCAGGACTAGTGCGGTAACTAGAGATGAAGCATGATCTAAGGGAAAGAAGTCTCCACAATGAAGGGAGGCAATTACTGACCAATTAGATTTCATACAAATGTTTTGAGCACACAAAAGCATTTTAAGACCAAGATGGGTTGAACACTTTCTTTGGGTTTGAAACTGTAAATCCGTTTGAGTAAAGACCTAGGAACCTTTTGGCTGGAGGAACTGAAACAATAATCCTCTGGGATGATGTGGGAGTGGCTGAAAGGAAGTCCATCCATTACTGCTGGTACAAAGGAAGATGTAACATGAAGAATCGAGGCAGAGGATGGAGGAGATTGATACCACCTCCTGTATTCATGCATTGGCTATGCTTTCCAAATTTGCTTCCAAATTTCCACAAAAAACATCAGATGTGCCCCCCCCCCCCGATGGAACTGATGGGGTTGACTCTCAATGCAAAAGTGGATTTTTTTCACAGTCTTGGAATGCTTGTTTACCACAGGTCTTTAGAACCTCTCCAGTCATGTGAAAGATGTCTAGTGGTTCGGGGACCGTGAACCTGACATTTTGATGCAGAATAAGAAAGTGTTGACCCGCGTTGTTGATCCTTAGTTTTGCTCAGCTGGGATAAGTAATTAATTACCCTTACCCCTCATTTGCAACTTTAAGTATGTCCTCTAAGAACCAAAAAGATGGTCTTTCCTAAAGGGAAGGCATAACAAGACCATCTTACACTGTTGCTACTCTGACTAGCACTTAAGCCAGACTGCTCTTCAGATCTGGATGGAATCAAAGATTACTTGAGTCATAGTCTCGCTGGCATTCAGCTTTTCGTTGCGTAGGAAATTCAGTGCTACAATTTTGGGTGTTTCAAATCATAGATAAGATCGGGTATGATGAGGAAAAACTCCTTGTTGTAATGTTGGGATCTATCAGAAGGAAATCCTGACACCTTCATAGGTAATGGAACAGAGGAATCCTTCAATCCGAAAGTGGAGTGTTCAGTCTTGATTAGAAATGATAAGGTTTGCTTCAGTTTAGGCAGAAGAGCTTCTGACTGAAATACAACTGGTGGAGCCTTGACATCAGACAAAGATCCCCAACAGAATGACACATAAAAAAAACCCCGGTCAGATTACACTTCTTTGTCTGATGTCAAGGCTCCACCAGCTGTATTTCAGTCAGAAGTTGTTTTGCCTAAACTGAAGCAAACCTTATAAATTCTAAGGGGACCTTATAGAGCAATTTAAACTCCTGCTCCAATTCTTTCTCTCCTCCTCAGAAATGAAGGTGGCAACACCTATTACACTGCTGGGAGGTGAGAAAGAATGGAGCAATTAATAACAGCGGACGCATCTGGGGATCAGAGCAGATTCCATCTATAAACTGCTGGAAACCAGAGGAAATTCCACTATGATCGTTTTTAGCTCAGAGTTTTGACCTACTTAATCTTAAGTGGTCAATAAGTTGTGGTGCATATACTGGGACTATAAAGCCCAACCCACATAAACATAGTCTTTAATTTGTCCCTGGTGAATCAGCATGCAAAGTGAACTTGTGCATTTTCTTAATCTTTATATCCAAAAGATGGTGCCACTCGTGCTCCCCTTTCACAACTGCACTCACCACAATTCAAAGAGCTGTCAAAAGACATCAGGGACAAGATTGTAGACCTGCACAAGGCTGGGAATGGTACAAGACCATCAGCAAGAAGCTTGGTGAGAAGGAGACAACTGCAAATGGAAGAAATACAAAATAGCCATCAATTGCCCTCGGTCTGGAGCTCCATGCATGAT